CCATAGCATCAATGCCTTCATCTTGCAGGAACTGCTGACACACTCCAGCCACATGAGGTCTAGCATTGTCATGCATTAGGAGGAACCCATGGCCAACCGCACCAGCATATGGTCTCACAAGGAGTCTGAGGATCTCATCTCTGTACCTAATGGCAGTCAGGCTACCTTTGGCGAGCACATGGAGGGCTGTGTGCCCCCCTAAAGAAATGCCACCCCACACTATTACTGACCCACTGCCAAACCAGTCATGCTGGAGGATGTTGCAGGCAGCAGAACGTTCTTCACAGCATCTCCAGACCCTGTCACATCTGTCACGTGCTCAGAGTGAACCTGCTTTCATCTGTGAAGAGCACAGGGCGCCACTGGCAAATTTGCCAATCTTGGTGTTCTCTGGCAAATGCCAAGCATCCTGCACGGTTTGGGGCTGTAAGCACAACCCTCACCTGTGGATGTCAGGCCCTCATGCCACCTCATGGAGTCTGTTTCTGACCGTTTGAGCAGCCACAGGCACATTTGTGGGCTGCTGGAGGTCATTTTGCAGGGCTCTGGCAGTGCTCCTCCTGTCCCTCCTTGCACAAAGGCAGAGGTAGCGGTCCTGATGCTGGGTTGTTGCCCTCCTACAGCCTCCTCCATGTCTCCTGATGTACTGGTCTGTCTCCTGGTAGCACCTCCATGCTCTGGACACTACACTGATGGACACAGCAAACCTTCTTACCACAGCTCGCATTGAAGTGCCATCCTGGATGAGCTGCACTACCTGAGCCACTTGTGTGGGTTGTAGACTCCGTCCCATGCTACCACTAGAGTGAAAGCACCGCCAGCATTCAAAAGTGATGAAACCATCAGCCAGAAAGCATAGGAACTGAAGTCTGTGGTCACCACCTGCAGAACCACTCCTTTATTGGGGATGTCTTGCTAACTGCCTATGCTTTCCACCTGTTGTCTATTCCATTTGCACAGCAGCATGTGAAATTTATTGTCAATCAGTGTTTCTACCTAAGTGGACAGTTTGATTGCACAGAAGTGTGATTGACTTGGAGTTCCATTGCATTGTTTAAGTGTTCCCTTTATTTTTTTGAGCAGTGTATATTGTTTGATTTCAATTGGACATTTAGAGATAAGCAAAGGGGATGGTGAGAGTAAGGGGAAGGTGAAATATATGCTTTGTACACAAACATCTCAGAACTGGCTTTGCCTCTCTGAAACCACTTGGCCTTAGTAATATGTACTTTCGCTAATAATGGATTCAAGAGTCTTTTTTTAATTTTCCAGGTTGGGATGTTTGACAGGCTCTACAAAAGCCAAATAGAATCAAATAAAAAAAAATTACAACTATGTTAAGCTACACTCGCTTGACTCTCTGACACAAGCAAGATAAAACCCTGTCCTTATGAACCAGATAGTTTGTATTGGTTTGAGATTTATGGAAGATATAACATTATTGGGTTTTCATTTCTAAAAACTGCATGCCACTGATGTTACTAGAGGACAGAAGCAGGGGTCTTACATTAGAGTAGCATGGGTTTCAAAAATGGTTCAGAAAAGTGCTTCAGAACATGAGTGTAGCACCTCTTAAAGCAGCTTTATCTTCTTGCAGGCTTGTGACTCCTTAAAATGTCTGTATTTTTAATGTGATTCCTTAAAGCAGCCATGCCCTTCTTTGGAGAAAAGCCTCTGAATAGATGTAGCTGCTTTAAAGACATGCTGCACTTATACTTTTATGTGTTTCAAAGCACTTCCTCCAAATCAGTGTAGGCATCCCTATCATTCTAGAAATCATTCTTAATCATAATAAGAATATGACACTTGATTGCATAGATTCAGTATATTACTGGCAAGTAAAAGAGGAGGATGAGAATTACTCAGCTTCAATTAGGCTTCTGGTGGACCACTATGAGAAACTGGATAAGAGTTCTTCAGAACTTACTCTGAGGGAACTTTGGTGGGTTGTCGTTGACATCTGTGAGGGTAATTGTCACTTTGGTGGTTCCTGAAAGTCCTCCCATGTGTCCTCCCATGTCCTTTGCTTGTATCACAACATGATATTCTTCCTTTGCTTCTCTGTCCATGTTGGGAAGAGCTGTTCTTATAATACCTTCAGGGAAAAGATGAGAAGAAATGATTCACAATATGTTCTTCAAATGTTTATCTCACAGTATGTCTGTTCTACAAATATTCATTTGCATAAGGGCTGACAGATATTTGTTTAAATGATTATACAACAGAGAAATTGCCTTCAGTGATTGTAGTATATATCAACCACAATTCACTCCACCCATACTCCATAGAATATCTGATGTTGTTTGAAGAAGTGCCAGATGAAGAATATGTTCTGTTCATAATTTAATATGAATTTAATGTATTTGCATGTCCTGCCCTTACAGGATAATTATAATGCAACTTTATAGTCAATTTGGAACTTTCTAATAGAGGAGTACAAAAATGTATACATTGACTGTATTTTATAAATAGATATGTATATTCAAGAAAATGCATCCATTTGAATTGCATCATATTGATTAGAAAATGTATAACCCCAACACAAAATGTAGAATACCCCAGGGGAGAAGAATATGTATGCATATAAAAATTTTCAAACACATTATCTAAAAAGCACAAGACTGGGGAAAAAAATGAAGTCAAACACAATAGAATCATCCATCTGTAAAATTGGATTCTGCAAGAGCTTGATAAGCTCTTTCCGTGATCTTGCCTAGTCCGGCTTATAATATGATGATTGTTGGGGTTATAATGGAGAAGTCTGAGGAATTTGATCTTTGCCATTTCCAATATGAGAACAGGCATTAGGATTTGCACACAAAGGGCTGATTTATGTTATCTCGGATTGCTACCAAAAACTGCTGGCCTCCCAGTAGCAAAATGTTATTCCTAACGTGTAGTAATGCCAGTAAGGATTATGGTTTGTTTTAGGAAAATGAAAGTGAGGTCACATTATTTAAACCATCTATTGTATTTTGGTCTTTATGGGTTTTTGAATTTGGGCTCATGATCAAAATGGGTTCACTAATTGATATATGGTTCAGGAATCTAAGATAGGCTTAGATCTCAACATTTCCACAATAGACATCAAGACTAAAGTTTGTTCTTTGGTGAGATTTGGGGAAAATTTGAGACATTATGACGCCATTTTCTCACTAGAGGAAAATCTTGGCTTTCTTTTTCTCCATCAAAGAAAGAAAGAAAGAAAAAAAGAAAGAAAGAAAGAAAGAAAGAGAGAGAGAAAGAGAGGAAGGAGGGTGGAAGGAAGGAAGGAAGGAAGGAAGGAAGAGCTACTTTATAGCTAGGACATATCAAATGAGCATATCTTAAATTGAGAAACATTTTATCCAATTTCCTCCTTCTCCAGAACTCTGTACCAGCTCATACACAACCGGGATAGATGGATTATGTCATTCTCAAATACTTGTATAGCAATCTTTGTACCCAACAACAGTAATAGAATAATGTAATAAGAGGAGATTTAACAATATCCCTTTTCAATTATGTTTGCATCTGTTTTGAATGCAAAGGTTAAGACTATCACTCACATCTTCCTGAGCTGCCATGTTACATTACATCATGAATACTTCATCAACAGATATTTGGTCTGCCCTGGATCTGTGATTCTGTTCTTCCTACTAAGAGATCAGTCTCGTTTAATCACCCCAAAGGCCACTTCATTCTGCACCATTGCAATCACAATTAGAAAAGGATTAGACCATTTTGAAATGAATGATTTTATGTCAAAACCACTTAGCTAATGTTTCTTGTTGACCTCCTGGTCATATACTCTGCTCATATACAATCTCTCCCTTTCTACCTTCTATTTTTAGCTTTTTTAATCTACTGCCATTAGTATTTATATAAACCAAATTAACCATTTCCCATTTTTTCACTCTTGATTGGTCTTTGAACATGTAGCAAAGAAATATATCAGGGTACTTGGGATATATAGTAAGGGACTAATACATTTGTTACCAAAATATACAGGAAGATCTGAAAGAATGGGGATTTTTTGCTTCTTGTTCTGAGAATTTCAAGTTGACAGCCCTGCTAAAAATTGTACACCACCTTCCCACTGCTTGTGAATTTTGGGGAGGACTGAAAAGAGTGTGGATATAAAATTATACTCCCTGACTATCAACTCTTCTACCTCCTGAGTGCATTTTTCTACAGAGGAATTATTGAATCTATCATCTGCACCTCTATAACTGCCTGGTTTGGTTGTGCAACCCAACAGACAGACACAGACTTCAGAGGATAATTAGGACTGCAGAAAAACAATTACTACCCACCTGCCTTCAATGGAGGACCTGTATACTTCATGAGTCAAAAAGAGGGATGTGAAAATATTTACAGACCTGTCACTTCCCGGACATAAACTGTTTCAACTCCTTCCCTCAAAACAATGCTATAGAGCACTGCACACCAGAACAACTAGACACAAGAACAGTTTTTTTCCCGAAAGCCATCACTCTGTTAAACAAATAATTCCCTCAACACTGTTCAACTATTTACAAAGTGTGCACTACTATTACTGTTAATCTTCTCATCACTCCTTATCACCCATCTCCTCCCGCTTGTGATTGTAGGACTGTAACTTTGTTGCTTGTATCCTTACAATTTATACTGACTGTTTCCTAGTATGATTTGATTGTTGATTGTACCCGATGACTATCATTAAGTGTTGTACATTATGATTCTTGATTCTTAACATGTATCTTTTCTTTTATGTACACCAAGACAAATTCCTTGTGTGTCCAATCACACTTGGCCAATGAAGTCTATTCTATTCTATTCTATTCTATTCTATTCTATTCTATTCTATTCT